TTCCCCCAATCCTAACCATCATTCCAGCGACGTCGCAATGTGAAGTCGTTACAACCTATTACTGTAAACATAATTACAATGTGAAGCCCCCGCTCGATAGCTAAGTTGGTGCAAATAACTCTCATTTCACTATGGTTTATGGTACTTATAACTATAGTTACTGGGGCTTATAAACCGACTTATAACTGGGGGGCCTCACATTGTATATATAATACGATATAATACATACATACATCATGACCCCGAAACGATCGAACACTATCGTGCCACAGAATTTTATGCTGTTCTATCTTTTTGGGGATTGCCATGTACAAAGAGATCTTGTCAATGGCCATGTCAGGAACCTAAATTGGAGGTACCTACCATAGATTTTTGGCCTATTTTTTAGGCCTAAATTTTAGGGAATATCCCAAATATGGCCAGAAATATGGTACTAACGCAGCTCCATTTAGGATCCTGAAATTCTCATTAAGTTTGTTTATCAATATAACCCCATGAACTAGTTCGTTGTATCTACCATAAACCATAGTTTTTTCAGGCACTCTTTTCAGGCAACTGAGAGATCATGGTCTTGACACCAAAATTAAAAAAAAAACCTCTGGTAAACTAACAGTTCGTGAACTGTAAAATCACCATCTTCAAGTTCGGTAAATCAACGCACTAAATTTCTGGACCATTTTCAAGAACGTGCCTGCTTTTGGTTGAGTAAACCTCTATAATCACCATTACCATCTGGTTATGACATTCACAGTTTGCCATGGAAAGATCCACCCATTTTTAATAGGTAAACCCAGGTAAACCATCTATTTCAATAGGCCATCTATACCATGGCTATGTTAAATAACCAGAGGGTATAAACTAAATTAAAATGACTGTAGTATTTAATATCATTCACTTCAAAGTAAGATTTGCTTACTGTAGTGTAGTATTATACTATTATTACTGTTTTTACTATAGTATTTTATAATGTTGTATTATTACTGTAGCATTATCCCATTCAACCACTATAAACACCACCATAAATCCCTTTAAACCACCATTAAATCACTATTTTTTACAGCTATGCCGCTACGCCGCGACTCGCGCCTGAGGTGCCATGTAAGCCGTTGTGCCCACCTGATCCAACCGTTGGGTGATCACCATGATCCCGGATAGCAAAATCTATAGTTACTATGTTAGTAACATAGTTAGTATAGTAGTTTTTTTAGATCATAGATTATCCAACATTTAACTATAGTTGTAAGATCTAACATCTGGTTGTCATAATCTATGATCTAAAATCTAAATGTTAGATATAGTTACTATAGTTGTAACATGTATCACACATAACTCTATAGTTAGATAATTTATGATCTAAAAACATAAAGCTCCTAGTTGCTTTCAAACATAGTCATGGTTCAAATAACGGTTATACATCAGCTCTATAGATGGCTAAGCAACAAACACCAACTGGACAATCTGGAGCACCTCGTAGGACGAAACTCAGAAACAGCAGCTCTGATATCCCAAACATCGATTCATACTCAAACGGAAACACGTTGTTCAATTCATTCATATAGAAATAGTTGATTTACCTATTAATTTAATGGTGATTTTCCATAGTTGTGTGAAAATACCAGAGGGTATCAGATTCTGGGCAAATTATAATAATTCACGAACCTGAAATGTTGGGCCATTTTGGGATGATTCCCCTTATTAACCATGATTCCAGTGAGGTCGCAAGTGAGGTCGTGATAATTTGCCCGTTTCCTCCCGGTGAGGGGTCTGAAGCCCGACTAAAACGTGAAGCTACGGCCCATAGCAAGGTTCCTTCTGTTCCACAGTGCCAGCACAAGCGACGGAAAGGGGTGCCACGCACACCCAACGCCAAGAGAAGGCTAGCTTGATGCACGATGCAGGGAATCAAATTCGTTCTAGTCGTCTACTCATTGCATGGTGGCAGCACGATTTGCATGCCACGAGTCAACACTCATGAAATATTACGGAGTGTTAGCGCCAAACTCCTATATTCGTGAAATCAAACACGACATGCAGCAGAAGATCCAATATGATGTATCAAAAGTCAATCAGACATGAGCAATATCCATAAATTGAGCGGTTAAACATCATAGACTCATTGATTCATGGAGTAATGCTTGAATGACTAATATCGACTAATAATTGTGTCTTGGAAATTTGGATATATACTGGTCCATTAAGCTACAGACTCACTGGGTCTATATAATGTAGACTAATTTAAAGACTACTATTCATTATTCATCATTATTTGGGATAACAACAAATTTGCTAACAAAAAAACATGTGTATATATGTATATATATATGTATTGGTTCAGATCTGTTATCGCATATATGATGCTTTAGATGGTAATGATCCATTTGTTGAGTTTCAATCCATTCTTGAGTCAAATCCGGCCAGAGTGGGTAGGGCAAACCAGCAGCCATGGACAAGTACCATGTTTAGTGGGAAACATTCTTTACAGGAAGTGCCCTCCCAGTTCCAAGTTGGTTTAGACTCAATCTAAGCATTGGATATACATATATATATATATTTAATATTCACCTTAAGATACTAGCTATGAAAGAGGTGTAGAGCGACGGACACCTATCATTTTGGAGCTCCTTTCTGCATCCATAAATGGATTCAAAAAGCAATTGGGTCGACCCAAACATTGGGTATACAGGGTACCAACGGACCCACAAAACTAGAAAAAACATCAAACATCAAACCAATCATTTCGGCCTATGATCATCCCAAAATGGTGGTTGAATTCAACTCAATGACTGAATTGATGGTTGATGTTTCAACTCAATCATTTCGGCCTATCCCAATCATTGAGTTTATGATCATCCCAAATTCTCGTTGATCAGTCTGTATCCCCTGTGTTTTGCGAAAGATAAACGGTATCAAAGTACCATCTACCTGCAGATACTTGCACATGATCTGGTTGGTGGTTGACCTACCCCTCTGAAAAATGATGGAGTTAAAGTCAGTTGGGATGATGACATTCCCAACTGAATGGAAAGTCATAAAATTCCATGGTTCTAAACCACCAACCAGTGATTGCTGGTTTAGTCCCAACTTTACAAAACTTCCAGTCGCTTCTTCTTCGGTCGCTGCCTGTGCAGTCAACGTCTGTCCCTCCTCGAACTCACAGGAGAGCCCGAAATCACCTCGTCGCGTTACCCGCGGTCGCGAGGCCGATTTCGGGCGAGAAATCACTGGTGAAGTTATATGTTGGTGGTTGATCTATGGTAAATCTATGGTAAATATGGTAAATCTATGGTAAATCTATGGTAATCTATAATATATATATATATATGTTAAGATACTGTGGATGGGCCAGCGAAATCCGATAAACCACCAAACGGATGGTTGAAACCCTACAAATAGTGGGATGTGCACCATCTATCAAGTGGTGCAGGATTTCGCAACCATCCACAGTATGGTCGAAGAAAAAACACTGTAACTGTTACATGCTAAACATCTGTGGATATTCATTCGTACTTAATTAATCGTAATCTGTTGATTTACTTGATGGCGCATCTCATCCCACGAATCGTAAGTGGGTTATATCCCACTTATGTTTGTGGGATAAGTAGGTTTACTCCACCAACATAACTGTTTTTTTTTACTCACTTACGCTCCGTGGGATGAGCCACCAGGAAGGGTAGTTGAATTTCAAACAAGAAACATTCAAGAATTATTCACAAAGTACTATCATATATATGCAAGATCTAAGTAAATCTTTATATGTGGTACTATTTACAAAGTGCTTGGGAAATTTGACCTATACATACATGCATACTGGACATACCGAGAGCCATATGTTTAAGATATTGCTGATGTCCCAAGATATCCCAAGAAAATGGAAACTTGATGAGTTCAAAATTGGGTCACTAGACAAAGCCGCAAACCAGACATGCTATTCGTGTGCAAAACCCAAACAATCCCAAACTAGAAGAAGGTATGTGGTAATAAAATACAACCATCTAGCTATGACTGTATCAATGATGATCATCACCATTAACCCTATTTAACATTGAACTGAGTTATTAACTAACAAACTTTCTATCACTATGATGATATATGATGATCATCACCATAAACCCTATATTTACCCCCTGGGAAACTAACAGTTCGCTATGGAAAATCACCATTGTTGATGGCTAAATCAACGAACTAAATGGCAAATTTCAATAGCTATGTTAGTTACCTGCGTGTAATTCCTATTTCACTATGATGTTTGGTCCCTATAACATTTTATAACTATAGTATTCATGCATATTTATGGGGTTTATAAAACAACTTACATCCTGAGTTACGTTGATCAACCCACATAAATACAATATACCCTCTTGTAAACTAAGATAACTATGGACAATCACCACATTTCGATACTTTAAGTAGGTAAAACAAGTTGACATTTGTTTCTAATATATCATCTTTACCGTAAACATATACCATCACCATAGTATATGATTATGATGATATATGATGATCATCACCAAAATACATATTTAACATTTAACTGCTCCAACAACTATGGGATATAGTAGATATAACTGTAGTTAATGGGTTTTGTAAAAACAACAACATCTAGGGGGGTCCACATTGTATGATTATGCTGATCAGCACAATAAACCCTATCTGGTTGGTGGTTGACCCACCCCTCTGAAAAATGATGGAGTTAAAGTCAGTTGGGATGATGACATTCCCAACTGAATGGAAAGTCATAAAATTCCATGGTTCCAAACCACCAACCAGTATTCCATTGTTCCCCCTATGATGGTTTCATATCACCCATTCCAGGTAAATCCGTTATAATCCGTTTATTGCCAGTTAGATAGCCAGCACAATCAACCCTACAATGTGAGGCCCCCAAGATAGCTAAGTTGGTTTATAACTCCAATAACTATGGTTTATGGTACTTATAACTATAGTTACTGGGGCTTAAAAACCAACTTATAACTTGGGGGCCTCACATTGTATATATAATACAATATAATACATAGATTACCATAGATTTACTATAGATTACCATAGATTTACTATAGATTTACTATAGATTACCATATATTGCCTATATTTGACTGAGTTATTAACTCACCGACTTTGCAAACCGTCGCGCCGAGACGCTGATGCGCAAGGAATTGCCCGCGTCGCGGCTGATGTCTGGCCTGGCGTTTTTTTTTTTGGCGTTTCGGCGTCGACTTTCGTCGGGGGAAAACACGGTGGTTTCAAACCCTGGGGAAAAAAAACGTAGGAAAACCATGGGAAAACCATGGGAAAATGGTGATTTATCCAAGAAAAATGTGGATTTAATAGGATTTATTGCCTATTTATAGCTAAGTTGGTTAAGATAACTCCAATAACTATGGTGTTATGGTACTTACAACTACGTATAGTCAATGGATGTTGATGGGGCTTATAAAGCAACACACATCACTGGGGGCCCCACAATGTAGAAATGTGGTAAGACTCTTATTTTGGGCATCAACATGTGTGTCAAGCTTCGACTATTGATGCTTTTACCCATGGTTTATGTGGGAACTTTCAGTGTCAAACTATCCAAAATATCTGGATAAATAATAATAATTCACAAACCTGAATTAAGGCCATTTGGGGATGATTTTCCTTATTAACCATGATTTCAGTGAGGGAGAACAGTGAGGTCGTTATGATTTACCCAGAAATATCTGATATTTCTTGGGATACCAAACCCACAAACAGGGATCATCTGTATTTCTTTATTTACCATGAGTCCGTTTCACCGTGAAAAAAAACTTTTTTCCTGGATATCCTCCTGTAAACCAACATAATTAGGTGTGACCTCGTCGTGACCTCGTGAAATCGCATCATAAACTTATCCAACTCCATTTTTTTCAGACTACTTGAACCACGTGTTTTCAAAAAACATGTGTAAAAACTTCAGATTCCCAGACCCCCCACACCACCAACCCATACCACCACATAAGCACATGTGGATTCTTGGCTTCAAACTTCAACCCCATTCTTCCTGGCTCATAGTCATAGTCATACATCGCAATGGAACACCCGCCCAGGGGAGCTTGACAAAAAGCCCCGTTTGTTCACAAAGGCAACCTATCTGTCCTGTATCTTAATTTTATATCTATAGTATCGAATGATGGTTTTCGCATAATGTATAACATTAATTAAGATATATAGCATAGATACTTACCATTCTAGTGGCTCTACATTGTACAAGGTGTTGCCCCACAGTTAGCTAAGTTGGTTGATAACTCCAATAATTTGGGTTTATGGTAGATATATGTAGATATGATATACCCATGCTTTTCATGAGGGTTATAAACTAACATCACTGGGGGGGCACCACCTTGTACCAATGATGGTTTGAAAACATCACTGGAGGGTTTTCCGCCTCGTGACCAGCACGTTTTGGGGTTTCAAGTCCTGGGCGTTTAAGGCGTTTGGCGGGACTGGAGTGATAGAAAACTGACTAGCGAACATTCAGGATGGGAATAAAATGGGATACTAATATACGTATATGTATATATGGGTATGGATCAATACCTATTAATACCATTTTTAGGGGGATGAACATCCATTTACCAGCTATCTTGATGTTCACCAGGGGTACAAGGTTTTGACACACTGCCATATATATATATATAAATTAATACTGGAAGAGTAAATATCCTACTGGGAACATCATGTATAGTGAGTATGAATGAATATCATGTATGATCAATGGGGATATCATGTTCATAATATAATCATGTGTAATGGGATGATAATGGGATCAAACATGATCCAACCATCAATGAAAGGAATTAACATGAGGATACCCTCTGGTAAACGCTTACATAGATGAATCCACAATCCATGTGTGACAATATTAGGCATGGTTAATTTTCTGAATGCAAAGCAGTTGCGACTGCCTGACCAAGTACAGTGCAGTTCTGGAGCACTTCAGGCCATGGTAATTGGCCATGGTTGGGCGCAACGTCTCGTACATGGTCTTCAACCAGGTCAGAAGGTCATGATTGGATCATCTTTTGCGCCCCATGGGGGAGAGCGATCCCTATCCAAGGTCATCCACGCAGCCAAGGTCATCTGACAAGTCTCAGGCTGACAGCTTGACTTCGCCAACTTTCGCGATCCATGTGGCGTACTTTGAAGGTAGCTTCCCAGCGTCTGCACCCTCAGGGCTCAGCGCCAGTGCAGCGTCGAAGAACAGGGGTATGGATCTCTGTTCAGCCATCGATTGTAAGGCTTCAACTAGTCTCTCCCAACAGGATTCTGGCACAATGTCTGTTCCCTTGAAACTGGATTTGCCACATGATCCAAACATTTTGCAGTTGTATTTTTCAACTTTTTAAAAATCACCATAAATTCCAGTTCGCTTTTTGTATACCAATGGGAGCATCCATCCTATGGGAATCCTATGGGAATCCATCATTGGCGTGGCTTAGTGAAGTCCATTGATGGGCTTGGGGATGTTATCACATTATAATGACTCACTCATGGGCTTTAAAAAATAGTGGTTTAATGTTGTTTAATGCTTCGTGATGAACTCATCAAATTATAACTTAGTGATAATACTCGATCCTAAGGGAAAGTCAACAAAAAAAGGACCACAACACATGTTGACTCTTGAACTAGTTACTATGGATCTTTGGATTATTGTTGTTCAAATATTTCAATACTAATTATAGGACCTAAGGAGGTTGACATGTGGTGGATTTGCCCAAAAATCCGTCTCCAATCAATGAATGGGTCCCAACCTCTTCTGCGCAAATCATATTGGTTCCCGAGGTTTAAATCACAATTTCTGAGACTTTTCATCCCAAGCATCATTGCTGGTTTGGGTCGTTGTGAGGTCACTATCTAAGACAAAACCGTATTTATGGTGTCATCCGTTCTTTCGTTGTTTGCAAGTTGTTTTCTGATTAGGAAATGCCATGTTGTTTCCAGCACAAAAAAACATTTACACAAATAAGTCACTGGTGTGAAGATACGTAAGATCGGGAGATCATCATGACGCAGAGTCTGTTTTGGCTCCTAGACTTGGCTCCCCATCACAAAATCAGCTCTCAGCCTTTCAGCTGGACATATCTGGCAATTTAACACTTCACTATTTTTCACATGGCCCATTTTTTCCGCTGACTTACCTATTTTTTCATTTTCATTTCAGGCATTCAAAGGGTCTCTCCCTTGCCGCACATTGGCTTGCATCAAATTAGAGGTCTTGGAAATCCGGAAGCCAATTTGCTCCCTGTCTGATGACCTCGCATGCGCGCGCAGCTGAAGAGATCCACTCATTCAGTGGTGCGCCAGGGGGCATCTCAGTCCGCAATCTACGGCTATGTACAAGCCGATCGAATTGCTTGATGAAGGCATGAGCAAGTGCCCAACAAAATTGGCTCGGATACTCCTTATGCCGAGCAGTCCTAAATTGCCCAAATTCATCTTTACCAATAGCTGTTGATGTCGGCTTTGCCACGTCACGCATCGTCTCAGCATAGAGATCTCGGTGAAAAAATGGCAGAGCCCAAACCAACAATCCTGTGGGCTTTACTGCTTCTGCTCCCCAACGAAATTGGGCGACATGGTGCAACTTCAGCTCAGGCAGTTGAAGCAAGAGCTGCACAAGGGGACTCGTCCAGATACTGGGTCTGGTGGCGTCCAATGGTGTAGCAGGGTGTTCTGCTACAAACATCCCCCCAAGGGAGATATGCACACAAAGGACCCACACACACTGTAGGAAGAAAGCACTACCAATGGAACATTGCCGGAGTTCTCGCATAGTCAATGCTTCAAGACCAAACAGGCGTTCAGCAGATCGAAGTGGACGGGGCCAATTTTTTGCGCCATCTGGAGCGGCTGTAAAACGGGCTTCACTATAGGTCTCGCACGGTGGACCACATAGCGTGGCTGCAACTCTCCCGGACAAATACAAGGAGACTAAGGTCTCCCAGGAAGCAGTGCCTTGCATCAGATCACCAAACTCTAGTGATACGGCTGTATCGAGGGAGAGAATGACAACATTCCATGCTCGGTCATCTGCCATTTGCTTGAGAGCAGCGTGAAAATCGCCAGCCCGCCTTCTGCCACTAAAAAGGTGTACCACCAGAAATGTAGGAGGATCATCCAAATGTTGATATCGGGGGCACACAGCCTCAGGTGGCAAATCTACAAAGCGGCAGCTACGAATAGACTGCAGCCAATGAGCTTGCTCTCCAAAGGATCGATGTACCTGGTGTTGAACTCTAGATGTGCTTTTCGGGTGCCGAGTTCTTGCACGGGCAACTTGCCTATGGGGCACCGGAGCCTCCTCTACACAGTGCTTGAGGCTACTTTCGAGAAAGGCAATACGGGCTAAGGTATGGTATCGCGGCAGTTCTGTGGCAAACTGGGCATACAGCTCATCCACCACCTTTTCAGCTTCACCATCCAAAAGCTCCGCAATGATGTCTGGTAGCCAATGGTCTCCCCATGCCAAGAAAACAAAAGCTAACCAATTATCCCAATCAGGATTATTCTCCCCAAAATCGATGCACAAGATTTGGATCCATCCATCAATGAGCTGCTGCTGAGCTTCCGGGGAGGCACCTAATGGATAATGCAGCTGAAACCATTGCTGGGTCAAGGCCGTGAGCGCATCTCCAATCTGTGCTCCTCGTTCTTGTGCATCATCTGGTTCATCAATCACCTTCAATTGATCTTGGCAAGCGTCCAGTTCAGCCTGCCACTTCTGCCTCTGCTTCGCAAGCAGGGTAGTCTGCTCGATCTGTGGTCCGCAAGTAGGCAAAAATTCTCGGCGCGCCAAACCTAACACATGTTGCGGCATGCGAACAGCTTCATAGTCAACAGTTCTCCCTTGTGATTGCAGCGCTTGGAAGCAGGGGTTATACCCCAGCTTTTTTGGGATGTAGGCCAAGTGTTGCTGTAAACGCTGTGTAGTCCAACAAAACCGACCACAATGCTGACAAACAGCCCCTTGCAAGAACTGCCGTTCAATGGAAAAGGGGTGATGTTTGCGCCGCTGATGGGCAAGAAGCCCTCGTCGGGTCGCAAATGACAGCCCACAAAAGCACTTCTGTTCACCTTCTTCCAATTGCTGATGGAAGGGATCTGAAGAAAAACTTGCACCATTCTGCCGCAAAAGTTCAAAGATGTTCTTATGCATAACAACAACTTCCGTCATCATGCTTTCTTGAAATTGATGCTTTCTTGCAGTAGCTTTCACATGGGCTTTCCAACGCCCCCCGTTGTTTTGCCAACTATCAAACAACACTGTGAGATCGGTCTGCCATCCTTCTGGAAGTACCCCTGGATTTACTTCATGCATCCACGCGAGATCAGCTTTCAGGCCAGCTAACCAAGAATCAGGGACAGCTGCCGCTTCCAAGTGGATCGCATTCTGCAAGAAATACGGACCTACCGAAAAGACTCTCTGTGCATAGAGCAGTCGTTCCACGGCTAATCGGCTTCTCACATCCAATACCTTTGCCGTGGCAAAGACCTGTGCATTGGTCTTTGACCATCCATCAACTGGCCAACGCAAGACCCTCTTCAGCAACCTGACATAAAAACCTGTAAGTCTCTGCAATTGCTTCGGCGTCAAGGTGTGCCAAGCACCAAGGCCAAAGAAAAGCTTAGAAACAATCAAAGCATGAAATAATCTCAGGCGGATGTCAGAGGGGAAATGTCTGTTAGTAAGTAATGGACGCGCAAGGTGTGTGAATGCAGAGGCAGCCATTCCGATGCGTGTAGAAAGCTCAACCTCAAGCCCATGATCTGAAGTAAGCATCGTGCCCAAATGCTTATATGCTGGAACAAAATGCAACCAAGCATGGGAGCCATCATCAAATTCACAGTCAACCCCTGGAGTGGGAATCAACTGAAACTTGGATCTTAGGGCTCCTGCTCCTGTGCCGCGAAAAGACACCAGCGCATTTGTTTTGCCCACTGCAAAATTCAACTGAAAGCCTCGAAGGTGTAGCGACTCACGCACCATGCGCAACAAGTCAAGCAACATCGGCACTAAATCCTGCGGTTGGTCTGTGGCAATCGGAATGGCCACGTCATCTGCCCAAATGACACTGGGAAAGGAGTCCTCGAGCGACGGTAGGACTGCCAAATGCACTTGATGTTGAATAATCCATTCATCAATATCCTTGGCAACTGCAGCCATAAGAATGTGGAAAATGATATCTGCTAATGGACTACCCGGCCGTGTGCCTCGGTGGGTATGTAGGTACTTCTGATTCGGCAACGAGCACCAAGTCTCAGCATGAATATCGCAAATCAATCTGACAAGCGATGCTGGTGCGCCAAGTTCGGCCAACAATCCAGGCAGATGGCATCCTGCTGCAATTTTGTCAGTGGGTGTCCTGTCTGTAGGAGTGTGTTCATCACTACTTCCAAGCTAGCAGACGTGGAAATGCCCGTGACTAATTCCTACTAGAAATAATGATTTTCTCTGTCGCAAACTCTTAACCTCTTAACGTTTAGCAGAGGGTAAAACATGTAACTGGACCTCAGAAACTGGGAAAATCCGGGAAATCTTCCAGAAACTGGGACAATTCTCCAAAGATTTCCCATTTTTTCCCACTTTCCAAAGGGTCCAGAAACATCATCATCCGGCGATCTATGGGGATGATTCCCCCAATCCCATTTTCATCACCGACGTCACGAAAAGTGAGGTTACTATATTTTATCCGTATAATATAGATAGATAGATAGATAGATAGATAGATAGATAGATAGAGAGATAGAGAGATAGAGAGATAGAGAGATAGAGAGATAGATAGATAGAGAGATAGATAGATCGATAGATCGATAGATCGATAGATCGATAGATCGATAGATCGATAGATCGATAGATCGATAGATCGATAGATCGATAGATCGATCGATCGATCGATAGATAGATAGATAGATATGTATATATATATATACATATGTACTAACCTGAATTAACTAACCTGAATAGTTCGGCCATTTGGGGATGATTCCTCTTACTAACCATGATTCCAATGAGGGAGAACAGTGAGGTCGTTATTATTTACCCAGATAATTATGTAGTACGTATAATTACTGCAGAAATGTTCCTCCAGTGGTGGCCACTATTCACCACAGTTGGATCTGGCTAAATCATACAATGTGAGGCCCCCCAGTTATAAGTTGGTTTAACAGCCCCAATAACTATAGTTATAAGTACCATAAACCAAAGTTATTGGAGTTATTTGCACCAACTTAGCTATCGAACGGGGGCCTCACATTGTACTAATTCAACCACCAAACGGTACCCAAACGGTATCCTAAGTCACAGCTGGTATCCTGACATCCTGTGCGATCTGTGCGTCCGCGCCCGATGCACGATGTGACAACTATGGAGGTAACTAACACCTGGAAGCGCGCAGCGCAAGCGCAGAGTCCCCTGATAGGACCGGAGGTGGAAGAAACGCCTTGTTACTGAGGTGCATCCCAGTTCCTGGGTAATAAGCATATGAAATGAGCCAGTTGTGTGGGATACTAAATATTATATTATATTATATTAGATTAAACTATATTATATTATAAAATATTTTATATACATGGGAATTATTGAAAATATAAAATATATCAAATGTAATATATTATATATTAAACGAAATATATAATAATAATCTATATTATATAATATATTACATTAAAACTATTATATACATATATAATATTTCAGATTCGGCTTATGTGGTGGTTTGGGTTGGTGGTTTGGGGGGTCTGGGATATTGTGATATTGTGATTTGTTGGTTTCCTGGGGTTCTGGGAAATTGAGTGTTTTTTTTTCACCGCTTCAGCGGGTGTTGCACCGCTACCATTGGAGCCCTGTGATGGCCATGCTGCAGTCAGGCATGATGGTTCTCACCCCCCTCCGGTCCAAAAGGAGGCAGCGGGTGTTGGACGGACAAAGCGTCCTTGTACAGAAACACCCGCTGACCCACCAATGGAGTGGGCAAGTTGTTGCATTGTGGAGCAATTGGACAAGTTGTTGCACCAATGTTCCCCCCTCCGGTCCATATTATATATTAAACAATTTATATTATATATTATATTGCATAGATTTTATACATATTGTATATATTTAAAACATATTATATATATATAAATTATATATCATATATTTTATATTGTTTTAAATATTATATATATGATATATTATAAAACATTGTGTATATATATATATATGTATATGTCCCCAGCTTATACATGGGTTTCTAGGCACTTACCAGACGGAAAGTGCTCAAGCACTGGTATAACAAGAACCATTCTCTCGATATCTACAGTTATGGCCCTTAACAGTTTTAAATGAGATTATATATCTCCTATAACTAGGGTTATATATATAATTATATAATTAATTAAATATATAATTATATATATAGAATGTTATGTAACTATCATGATAAATAAACCCTTTTATAACTGGTAAGGGACATAACTGTAAGATTGCAATCATGCAAGTTTACGTTTACTTTGTCATGGGACAAATGCTGCAAATCCTCTCTGGAAGATGCGGAAGATGTTCCGCCAGGTTGGGTTACCTAGGGGAAACCAAACGTTAAACAAAACATTGGGACACCAGCCACACTTTAATACGGTGGATGGGCCAACGAAATCCTGCACCAGTTAAAAACGGTGGTGCACATCCCATTATTTAGCGGGTTTCAACCATCCAAGGTGGTGAAGGATTTCGCTGGCCCATCCACAGAGAGTCTTGGGTTTATCCTACATAGTTCGCGGGGTCGCTAGGTGCCTGGTCCACATTCATGGGAGGACAGGTTTTGTCCAGTATCTTTTCAAGCGATCTATTGCATCTCAAAGCTCGCAAACTACACGTGGGATCTCTGCAGAATCGCAGCCTATCTTCTTCAAGATGAAGTTCTCTCTCTCGGGAACTTTTATGATCACCATGGATGTCAGCGTCAGCGCTGACAGCACATTTCCTCGACACAGAAGCAGTACTCGTGCAGCTTGTTCATCGACTTCACGTCCTTGAACATCCTGACGAAGGAGCTGAACCTCTTGCTGCACGTCTCTATGATCGCCGTGCCTCCAAGAACTCTCGGCGGCTAGCGTCTTCCGGACCTGCTTCCTCCCTTGCTGCTTTTTTTTTTTTCTCTGTCTTCTTCCTCAGGTCTTCCTTCTGCGCCTTTGCTTTGGTCAGGTGGAGTTTTTTCCTCAAGTCCTGAATGGTGTCCGGAAAGGTGGGGTTTAGATTTATCTGGCTTCTTTTCGATGGAAAAGAAGGAAAAAATGAGGGCGGTAAAGGTTAAGACAAGACAAGTTTTGAGTTTAATGAGCTTGCAGGTCAATTGAATTAAATTACCAGTGGTACCCGCACGAGGCGGAGCGGAAGTTGCCTTAGGGATATAATATATATATATACATAAATATATATATATACATATATATATATATACCAGTAGTACCCGCACGAGGCGGGGCGGAAGTTGCCTTAAAAAAAGAACTTGCATGCGCCGTGCGCCAGCCAAGCCCATGCGTGCGTACACTCTGCGAAACTGGTGTCTTGTTTCACATGTCACATTTCAAGCTCCACGTCACACTTCACACTTGACAGTCCTCACACTCCACACTACACACTTCACACTGCACTCTTCACACTGCACCCTTCGCAGTCAACACTTCACTTCACACTGCACTCTTCGCACTCCAAACTTCACACTTCACAGTCCACACTTCACAGTCCACACTTCACACTTCTCACTTCTCACTGCTTCCTTCACACTTCACACTGCACTCTTCACGCCCCACACTTCACACTGCACTCTTCACACCCCACACTTCATCTCATCTGAGCTCTTCTCACCTTATCCCAGCTTAGCTCTTCTCATCTCATCTCTTCTCATATGTCATCTAAGCTTTCATGAATCACTTCCCAGTACTACTACAAAGGAACTTGCATGCACAGTGCGCCAGCCAGGCCTGTGCGTGCGTGCTTTGTGCGAAGCTGTTGCAGTGTTGTTGTCCAAGAACATGACCTGCGCGCGACCCGGGTACAATGCAAACACTTTCCTCAAACTTCACATTGCACTCTGCACACCCCACACGCCACACTTCACACTTGCACTTCATCTCAACTCATCTCATCTGAGCTCTTTTCATCTCATTCCATGTCTTCCCATATGTCAGCTAAGTTCTTCTTCGGATTGTGCTAGCTATGGAACATCCATACCTTGTCCAACCGTCCATAAAGTCATTGAAATCTTGATTCAGGAGAATCCTCAGGTGATCCAAAGAAACTTGTCACCCAACAAAAAGGTTGGGTCAGTCATGATTCACGAGTTCGTAACAAGTAACAATTCACCAAGAATTCATCAAAAACTCAACAATTCGCCAATCTGCACACGTGTGGCCATTTATGAGTTATAAGTTGTTATTTCTATGCGATTATAAATTCTATAAATGGGGTTTTCTTAGTATACTTATAACTGGTATAACCCGGACCATAACTGCAATGATTTACAAAGCTGTCGGGTCGTTAAACGGTGGTTACAAGTCCTCAGGCAGCTGGGCGATGCTGTGAAAATCACCCATCATCGTGAGCTTATCATATGTTCAACATTTATTTATATATATATACACTGATATATCTGTGTAAATTTAGATATTCCTAAATTATATGAAACGAATGTACATTATAACCAATGTACATCATCGGGATATCCATAAATCATAAATGGTATATGTAGCCGTAGCCTACACTACACACATATATATATATATTGGTAAATTATAATGATTCACTAACCTGAAATGTTGGGTCATTTGGGGATGATTCCCCTTGCTAAACATGATTATAATGAGGGAGAACAGGGTTCGGTCGTCACTAAATAGAGATCTGTTTATATTAGCCAGATTTATTGTATCCCCAACATGGCCCCAAACGTAGGTTTTTATAATGGTAAAACATAGGTGCAGCATTGCGGCATTGCGGTCCCCGGAGGTCCAGTATAGACTGGGGGGGTGGCAGCTCCAGTGATCTAATTGGATTATAATTTGTACTTGTTGGCTCCTCCCACGAATCGGAAATGGGTTGTATATATATATATATCCCAGTTATAGGTGGATTAACCCTACTTATCCCGCTGATAACTGGGATATAACCCACTTTCGATTCGTGGGATGAACCACCAAGTATGCAATTTTGGTTACGCATAGTTAGGCGGGTAATATCCCCAACTTATGGCTACTGAAGTGAAGTCAACCTGGTGATAGCCATGTTTCTTCACCGGCCCAGAAATGTTTGGGTACGGCTAGAGAAAGAGGTCAAATTACATTTGAGCCATGAGAAACATGCCCTGTTTTCCCATCTCATGAAATACAAATTTGTTGAAAACGCGTTCCCTTTCATATTTAAGGTTAATTCATAATCCCCAATAAAATCAAAAAAGCCAAGTATATAGCAATTGAAAATTGCCATTTAGTTAGTGGATTTACCCATAAAAATGGTGGTTTTTGATCGTTTTGTGTATGTTTACCAGAGGGTAACTCAAAAAAAACATGACCAATCAACAAGGGTATCTTTAATGTCTCGAATTTCTGCCACCCTCTTCTGGCTATCATTCACTGGCCATCTCACGAACCGATTGATTGGAGGTACCTACCCATCATGTCCTTTTGGTAAAAATAGAGGGGCCGGTTTGGTATACCATCTATCATCATTTACCTGTTGTTAAAGGGGTGTCTTCAAACCCCTCTATTAATCGACCGACCAATGGGAAAAGGACATCTAGGGTACCTACCATACATAAGGCCTATTTTTAAGGCCTAAATTTCAGGGAATATCCCCAGAAAATATGGCCAGAAATATGGTACTAACGGCCTTCATTTTAGGATCCTGAAATGCCCATTAAGTTGGTTTACCATGATAACCCCCATGAACTAGTTCGCTGTATCTACCATAAACATAGTTTTTTCAGCCACTTTTGTCAGGCAACTGAACGCTATGCCCATTGAATCATTGAAACCACCAGTTCCAGTTCCAGCTCCCCCAGTTTTCCAATCAGTTCTATGGCCTCGTAAAATTTGTCGCATGATAAGCACAGACTGATAATCCCTTAGGGGACCTCGCTGTGTACCTTAACTCGGCTCGACTTTTTCGACACCTATGGGGCTGATATGGCCAAGCAGAAGATCTCACACGAAACAAAATAGGTGTGTTTTTCAAAAGAACATCTCCCTACATAAGGAACAGTCATGAAAACTCCACCAAGCCACAGTCTATCATAGTTAATTAGTCATCATTTATCCAGGGATTCAAGGCTTAACCATGAGGATACAAACAGGAACAGCTACACACGCAGCGAGCTGTTATACCAGGAATCCTACCTGGTGAGTAATTATATGGATACCTTCGGTGGTGTTCCCTAATTATACGTTTGAGTGTTTGAACATGGGGACGCTTTTTAAAAGATGGCAACGGTCATATAGGAACATGATGATGAACCAGTGGATGGCTTGGGGTATTCTCAAATCATGGGGGATCCCCGACCATGGGATACCATGGGTTTCAAGTCACTAAGTCATGGTCGACAAATGACTTGGATGATCACTGGGGTGCTCCCCATTGTTTGAAAGAAACTCCATTTAAAGAAATACCCTCTGGTAAACTAACATAGCTATGGAAAATCACCACTTTTAATAGGTAAATCAGTTATACCGTTATACCTGGGTTATTTTCCATAGCTATGTTAAATTACCAGAGGGTACAAGACTATCTGTCAATTCAAGCAATCCATTGCTGAATTGATATTGATGAATTGATGAGAACAGGTTATGTTGAGGCTGTGATTTGCATGATGGATGGAACAAACCCCACCTCTTTCAGCCCACAATTTCAACTGTCTTATTCGTCATATTACAGGTTCAAAGATCACCTTAAACAATGGACACGGGGCCATTTAGTATTAGATGATTCACCTATCGGCCAAGAAGGAAATTGTGATTTTCCACAGCAAACCGCAAGTTTCCCAGACTTGTTACCCTCTGGTAAACCTAACAAAAAACGATGGAACATCACCATTTTCAATGGGTAAATCCACTATTTCTATGGGCCATGGCTTCCAGTTCGCTAAAACTGTTAGCCAAATTACCAGAGGGTAAATCACCATTAATCACCATTAATCACCATTGAAATAATGAGTTTTTCCCATGAAACATGGTGATTTTCCTTAGTTTTCCCATGAAAACTGGTGGTTAAGACAAAAAGTCCCAGACCGGTCATCTCAGAGGCTTCTGAGAGGTTGCCCATTTTCCAACAACCATAGAACCCGACCATCGGCTGGATCATATAACCATTGACCATTAACCATCATTAACCACTATTATTGGTATATAATCATCTTTAAGTTCTATAACCACTATAAAAAAATGTATATTATATAATCCCATTGTAAAGATGATTATCCCATACAATAACCAGAGGGTACCCTGGATTAATGTCAACCCTGGATTTTCACAAACCCCGTAAACACGGCTGTGACTAATTGGGAGGGTACCATTAAAACAGTATCATATGAAATGACTATTGGAGAAGTACCCCCGTAATTTTCATAAACCATGGTTTATTAATCCGGGGTTGACATTACTACTCATACTCTCCAAAAGTCATGGCCAGTCTTAGATCCCCTCCAATAAGCTAACAGTTTGCTATTCAAGCCATGGCATGCCATGGCCCATTTATAGTTGATGTACTGAACTTCAACGTTGTGGTTGCCCAAAGCTACGTTAGTTTACCAGAGGGACGCAAAAAATGATAAATAGCTTGTTAGCACTGTATATTTCCCCATTTGGAGCAAAGCGATAGGATTTTTCCCCACCTGCCAGGTGAGGGTTGTTAGATTTTATGTCAGTTGCCTGCTCCTCCTCTCCTCTCCTCTCCTCCTCTCCTCCTCTCCTCCTCCTCCTGCTCAACCGCGATCCACGCTCAGTGTGCCCTGCCGGACCTCAACCACGACCATCCCCGCCCAGTGTTCCCTGCCGGACCTCAAACCGCGAGTATCCCCGCCCAGTGTTCCCTGCCGGACCTCAACCACGACCATCCACGCCCAGTGTTCCCTGCCGGACCTCAACCGCGAGTATCCACGCCAAGTGTTCCCTGCCGGACCTCATGAGATATGCCAGATAGAATGCCAGAAGATATGCCAGATGGAATGTCAGATAGAATGCCAGAAGATATGCCAGATAAAATGCCATGAGATATGCCAGATAGAATGCCAGAAGGTATGCCAGATAAAATGCCAGATAGAATGACACAAGATATGCCAGATAGAATCCCAGAAGATTTGCCAGATAATATGCCAGAAGATATGCCAGATAGAATGCCAGAAGATATGCCAGAAGATATGCCAGATAGAATCCCAGAAGATTTGCCAGATAATATGCCAGAATATATGCCAGATAGAATGCCAGAAGATATGCCAGAAGATATACCAGAAGATATGCCAGATAGAATGCCAGAAGATATGTCAGAATATATGCCAGAAGATATGCCAGATAGAATGCCCAGAAGATATATCAGATAGAATGCCAGAAGATATGCCAGATAGAATGCCAGAAGATTTGCCAGATAGAATGCCAGAAGATATGTCAGATAGAATGCCAGAAGATTTGCCAGTAAGAAAATGTAAAAATGTCACGGTGGGGATCACACGAAGTAAAGTAATTTTAACTACACATGGAAGGTTTCTCCAGATGTCTTCCAATGTAGCTCAGCTCGAAAACATACCCCCCTATCCCATCCCATTCTAATCATCACCCCGTAAAAGCCAGGGAGGTTAGCAAATCCCATCGCCCCCCCCCCAGAAAGCATGGTTTAACGAGGGACCGAAAAACACATTTGGGACCATACAATGGGGGGTGTTTCATAACGGGGGGATGGCATTACTTATTCGTTAATTTATATCATTCATTATCAATATCCAACTCTAGTTGATTCTATTGTATGATTGGTTACTATATAAACCATAGATATCCATTATGTATATAACCCACTAGCATACCCGAGAACCAGGGGTTTTCCACCAACCAAATTCGACGGGACCCCTGTGCAGCTCAGGGACGGATATACGCAAAAAGGTGCCCTGCGGCACAAAGCTCTAGAACCAAATAGAGATTTTCCTCGGCGGGGCCAGGCAGGAGGACAGCAATCCCCAAATGGGTTGTATATCCGAAGTTGGATATATGAGGACCCCACCCTTCATTCTCCCTAAAAGAAAAAAACATGTTTCAAGGATTTGCCATATGTCCTACCCTCTGGTAATTTGTTACACTTTGCGAACTTGAACATGGCCCATTTAGTGGATGATAAATCCCCAGCTGTAAAATGGTGGATCGTTCCATCTTTTTTTGTAAACGTTTTCCAGGCCATCATTAACCATCATTAACCATCATTTATGGTTAATAATGTCATTAGTATTTTCCTATGGTCCTATGGTTTTCCATGTGGTTTTCCCATCCAAAAACCCGAGCGTCGGAATCCTCGAAGATTTCGTAAAGTTTCACCTGGAGCAAAGGACCAAAAATGGATGTAATGGGAACATATAGCCAATATGGTGGTTTAATGGGATTTAATGGTGGTTTTATGGTGGTTTTTGAGGGGATTTAATGGTCCTATAGTTCACCTACATAAATGGCGAACTATCATCCACAGATGGGTTGAAGACTGGCTTATGATATAACCAGTCTATGATACATAAGATGTTATAAGTTACAATTGGTTGAGGTATGGTTTCGATCTCAGCAGTTGGGGTGAGATCATGTCTATGTCAAACAGCTGAGCCACCGACCACATGTATAACCATCAACGTGTATGTATGCCAATCATGTCTATATTAGGAGCTTTCCTGAGTCATAGGGCTACCCCAATTAACATCATCCATTTTAATTACCCTCTGGTGATTTAACATAGCTATTGAAAATGGCCAGTTGTAGTGGATTTTCCCATTAAAAAATTGTGATTTTCCATAGTTATGTAAACGTCTACCACAGGGTAATAAACCATCCAGCGAGCTGTGGGTAGGCCCATGGAAACCTCCATATCCGATCCACCTCTCGGATTGAAGTGTTTGAGTGTTTTTTTTGGTCGGAAACCATGGGATTTTTTAGAAGGGCATTTCCAACATAGATTCCAGACATTCCCCAACATAGATCCAGTATGTATATATATATATATATATAAATTACATTTAATTCACTAACCTGAATAGTAAGGCCATTTTGGGAAGATTCCCCTTGCTAACTATGATTTCCAGTGAGGGAGAACAGTGAGGTCTTTATAATTTAGCCAGATATATTAATATGTGTATATATATATACCATGTGTCTAGACAAGATCTGTCACTTAGCTCACTTGAGAATAAGAGACTGTTCGATCAATCGTTTACCCAAGAAAAAACGCGTTGATCTACGGAGCGATTGGTTCGTCAGTGACGTGGCAAGCATGTCCTCAAGTTCATCTCCATAGAAACCTGAAGATGGAATAGTTATCTGGTTCTGGTTCCCTGTCTAATGTTAACCCAGGACTTATGAACTGTTCAGTTTATTTGTAGGGGTTACCATTTTGTTGTAGTAATGTAAGTTCCCTCCCCATTAATAGTCAGGCTTTCAATCCGGGGATGACATTACCAAGCTCCAATCAATAATCAATGGTTGATCTATGTTGATCTATATAGGGAATCTGAGCCCTACTGTACGGGAACAAAAACATAAACATCAGATTCCTTATATAGATTAATTGATAAAAATCGATGTTTCAGTTACGCTTCCTCAATTGGAACACAAGCTGTTTCAATTCAGAAATCCCCATCTTGTCACTTAAGGTCGATGCCAAAACCCTATGCATGTTGTGAACCTCCGAAACATGCAGAATGTGGAAAACCGCTAAAGCCATTGCCATAAACAAGTACCATTTGGGGATGGGAAACATATGTAATATACCATCCATAAACATGCTGACGACTTGGGGATGCTTAAAGCACAGCCATTGTCCGGGAGGCTAGGTGAAATTCCGGCCGCTACCAAAATCTGCCAAACATTATAGCAAGCTCAACATAGATAATGCCCAAAGTTGGATAATCTCCATCCTGAAAACACCGTCTATCCAAAAAGACCTGAATCGGTGCTACAGGATGGGGATGATGGGGCCCCCCCAGTGATGTGAACGTTGGTTTATAAACCATACATTACCTTTCACTAAATTAACATAGACCCTGCCAGATAGGGGTTGGAAGATTAGTTTCCATTAAAAATTTGCTATTTTCAAGGTCTATGTTTATTTACCAGAAGGTATAACCCCCATGAAAACTAGTTCGTTATATCTACCATAAACCATAGTTCATTCAGCCACTTTTTTCAGGCGTTTCTGAACGCGAGCTCGACTGGGGGCCCTATCCTGTGTAAATCAAGAACCTTTAGGGTATATCCACTAACATGCCTGTTTTTTGTTGACTAAACCATATTAAACCTCTATAATCACCATTAAATCCCATTAAACCACCATAAAACCAATTAAATACCATTAAACCACCATAAAACCACCATTAAATCCCATTAAACCACCATAAAACCACCATTAAATCCCATTAAACCACCAAATAGCACCAGTTTCACCAACAAACAAAACGCTAGCGCTTCAATCCAAGATGAACCTCGCTGACCACTTTATAACCCAAAGGGCTGAATCTTGTGACCACCAGGCATGCTTTGGCCACGTTTACTAAGTTTAATGGCTCTGTACTGTAGAAATGTTCGTGATTGTTCTTTCTGTATATATATATATATATCATCATATATAATATACATATATATATACATAATATCCGTTGATCGTGTCAATTGCAGAAGCCGAGCTTATCGATACACCGTGGAACACTGGGACCAATATGATCGATAACTTGCTGGTCCACAAAAGACCAGAAATTCAGACTTGCTGCTTTCGGTGACTTATCCATTTATAGATATTTAATGATATTTATAGCATTTCAGAACACACCCATTGTATTGTTTCTTATTGTAAAAAAAACGGTTTGGTGGTATACCTACCCCTCTGAAAAATGATGGAGTTCAAGTCAGTTGGGATTATGAAATTCCCAGCTGAATGGAAAGTCATATAGCAGCCATGTTCCAAACCACCAACCAGTCATTATTAACCATTATTAACCATGATTAACCATCATTACCCCATACTAAATGTTCCAAACCACCAACGAGTTTCTTAATGAATGGATTAATGTCAACCCATCCAACTGGTTGGGCATGACCCAAAAAACGCTTCAAAAAGCCACTGCCCAGTTGCCACATTTGGGTGATCCACCTTCTTCGAGATGAAAATCCTTGCCACAAAGCGACCATTTGGATGGGAATGAGGTGAAACAAATCAGTGGATCTTGGGGTTTTCCCATGTTTTTTTTCCAAAGAACGAGGTCTTCTGGGTCATTGCCAAACCCATAGGATCCATGTATGCTATATATGGTAACATTTACCATCAATATACCCCACATGTGAGCATATATACCATACAGGGATCCTATGGGAAATTTTGAGAACAGTAAGAAGCGAGATGACCAACAAGAAATTGGGAAGTTCAGAAACAAACTGAGAATCTAGCCAACAAAAATGGCGTTGTTTGGCAACAATTTCCTTTAAAAACAACACAAGAGTAACACACATGGGGATTAACAAATGGATTAACACATATTAAGACATAAAAGCAAAAGATTGGATCCTCTAAAATGGGATATGGTATGGTACAGTATGTTAAGCATAAGCAAACCGCATGACACCACACACCTGGGTAATCGAGAGGATCTGAGCTTTGATTCAAGCAAAAAAAATGAGGGTTTCTATGGAATTACAACCAGTCCATTTGGATAATTGTTATTTTTTCTTTACCTAGATTCATCGTGATTCATAGTTAGATGCCTGAATTCCGAACATCCGCTTTTACCGTAAATAAGAATCACATATTACATCTTGAAACGCTTGCGCAGCTCCTGAAATCCCACATCTTGATGGGTTTTATAATGTCGAACCCCCAAACGATAGCTAAGTTGGTGCAAATATAACTCCAATGTCATTATGGGATATAGTAGATATAACTATAGTATTCGTGGGCTTTACAAACCAACTTAGCTATGTAGGGGGCCCCACATTGTATAACAACCAATCAACCGGGGTATTTGCAATGGTTAAACCACCATTTTCCTATGGTTTCCCATTGTTTTCCTATGGTTTCCCATGGTATAATGGTGAAAACAGCCAACCCGGCTATCCGTTCACCCGGAGGTGAAACCTCCTAGGCTTCCTATGGTGACCTGGGGGTCATGACTTACGAAAAGTTATAAGTTGAGTTGGTTTATAACCCCCAGTAAGTAGTAGAAGTATATCAATCATAAACCCAAATTATTGGAGTTATAAACCAATTTCCCTAACTATGGAACACCACCTTCTATATATATATATATACATATTCGCATTATGCTTCTGGCTGAATTCGAATGATTCTCCCCGTGAAATCACACTCCGTCACTCCGCCGAGCGGCTCATTTTTTAACGCACCAAAACCTTCCTTACACCTCAGCGCGATCGATGGGAAATATCCATGGATCCTAACTGGTTAGTGTTAAGTAGCCCGGCTTCAGCCAGATATAACTGGCTAAACAAATCTCATTTAAATGATGTAATAATCATCTTGTATAGATATAAATATATGTATACACAACCTTAGGTCAGGAGTTACAATCGCATTCGGAACTGAGGCCATAACTGTAGATTAGATCACCCGTTTGTACTTTTTCATACGCCCGAGACCAATTCCCGACTTAGTGTCTGGGGGACCCTTTGCAACACCAATGGGAATTTGATGGAATTTGATAGATTCAGAAATGGTGGGCACAACCCCATTCGATACTTGTGGTTGGAATATACCACACTATACCCTTGCATACCCTCACCTACAGGCCCCGAGACTCTCGTTGCACCAGAGACCTTACCACAAACCACATACCAGAAGCACCAGGGAAATAGAGCAACTTAGCATTTCAGGCCCACCTTGTATATTTGATGGTTATCCTACTATCCCGATAGCCCAATTAGTGGATTTTCCATTGGGAAAATACACACATCAGGGAATCCAGAAATAACATATGGTGGTTTCCAAAGTCATGGGTTACACCTAAATCATCCTAGTCATGGTTGACCGTATTAGTTCTCAAACCCATGGTGACTTGGCGATCCACCATTTTAGGAAACCTCACATTAGGAGTTTCCTATATTTTCAATATGTATTATGTAAATATATATATATATATATGTGTGTCCTATTCCATTCAACTTGTCCATGCTCATATGCTCCACGTATGGAATATTTCACGACATGTACCATCAAAATTACCCAAATGAAGAAAATATTCCATACATAATAGAACATAATTAGATTTCAAACATAATATATATATATATACACACATATGTCCCATGTCCCATTCCATGCGTAACTTATCCACAGGAATATCCCATGTATATGTGTATATATATATATAGATACATAAATACGCATATGATACGTTCCATAGGAGTGTAATGTACCATAAATTAAATTCCATGCAATCGACAAATATATATATATATATACATATACTCCATACATTCCATACATTCCATACATTCCCTGCACTCCATATATTCCATATTATATTCCATACGTTCCATTATCATATTCCATTTATGTAAATATATATATATACACATATATATATATATATATATTGTACCCCCCCCCTGGTACCTACCTTTCCTTGATTTATACTGTCAATTACAGTATAATTTGCTTATTTTCATATGTTGAATTTGATAGGTTTTTTATATTGAGTTTCTTGAGACATGAGTTCAGACTTGAGTTCAGACTTGACTTCAGACTTGAGTGTCATAGTCTCGATTCCTGCTACCCAAGATCCAAGATCCAAGATTTCCAGAAAGCTTTTTATATTGAGTTTCTTGAGACATGAGTTCAGACTTGAGTTCAGACTTGACTTCAGACTTGAGTGTCATAGTCTCGATTCCTGCTACCCAAGATCCAAGATCCAAGATTTCCAGAAAGCTTTTCTTGGAAATCTTGGGGTAAACCCAAGATCCAAGATTTCCAGAAAACTTTTCTTGGATGCACTTGCAGAATCTTGGATGCACCCAAGATCCAAGATCCAAGATTCCCAGAAATTTTTTCTTGGATGCAGGCTGGAAATCTTGGATGCACCCAAGATCCAAGATTACCAGAAAACTTTTCTTGGATGCACTTGCAGAATCTTGGATGCACCCAAGATCTTGGATCTTGGGTTTATCCCAAGATTTCCAAGAAAAGTTTTCTGGAAATCTTGGATCTTGGATCTTGGGTGCATCCAAGATTTCCAGCCTGCATCCAAGAAAAAAAATCTGGGAATCTTGGATCTTGGATCTTCGGTGGCAGGCTTTGAGGCTTGAGTTCAGACTTAAGTTCAGACTTGAGATCAGTGTACACATGTGTAGACAGAAACTCTCCGACAAACAATGTCCGTGTGCCTCGGTCTGAGCTTCGCTCTTGCCTTGTTGAGATCTCGTATCCTCGTGTCATGTGACCAAGCACGTGAAATCCACCCTTCCTAAAGTGTCAAGCACGTGAACCACGTGGTTCGTGCAAAGTACTGGCTGTAGTTTGCCCAAGTGAGAACTTGTAACGCAGCACTTTGTGCAAAGCCTTCATAGCTTCATCCTTTTGAACCCACCCTCCCTCAAGTATGTAACCGTGGTTCGTGCAAAGTACTGGCTGTAGTTTGCCCAAGTGAGAACTTGTAACGCAGCACTTTGTGCAAAGCCTTCATAGCTTCATCCTTTTGAACCCACCCTCCCTCAAGCACGTGAACCACGTGGTTCGTGCAAAGTACTTGCTGTAGTTTGCCCGAGTGAGAAATTATAACGCAGCACTTTGTGCAAAGCCTTCATAGCTTCATCCTTTTGAACCCACCCTCCCTCAAGCACGTGAACCACGTGGTTCGTGCAAAGTACTGGCTGTAGTTTGCCCAAGTGAGAACTTGTAACGCAGCACTTTGTGCAAAGCCTTCATAGCTTCATCCTTTTGAACCCACCCTCCCTCAAGCATGTAACCGTGGTTCGTGCAAAGTACTTGCTGTAGTTTGCCTAAGTGAGAACTTGTAACGCAGCACTTTGTGCAAAGCCTTCATAGCTTCATCCTTTTGAACCCACCCTCCCTCAAGCACGTGAACCACGTGGTTCGTGCAAAGTACTTGCTGTAGTTTGCCCGAGTGAGAAATTATAACGCAGCACTTTGTGCAAAGCCTTCATAGCTTCATCCTTTTGAACCCACCCTCCCTCAAGCATGTGACCGTGATTCGTGCAAAGGACTTGCTGTAGTTTGCCCAAGTGAGAACTTGTAACGCAGCACTTTGTGCAAAGCCTTCATAGCTTCATCCTTTTGAACCCACGCTCCCTCAAGCATGTAACCCACATGGTTCTTGCAAATGACTTGCTGCCAGCACAGATGTAGTTACGAAGAAAGGAAGGAATTAACAGTAAAAAGTAGGTATCAGGGGGGGGGGTTAGCATATATATATACCCCTATGGATCCAAACACTGTTTGAACAGGTACGGCTAACCCCCTATAGTCATCATAGCCCAGTCGTAGTTCCTGAGAAGATACGGCTGGATCCATAGGGTAGATACACCATATATACCATATATTCCACAAATATTATTTTACATTATATTATATATCATATATATATATATTAGAATTAAATATATATATATATATATATATTATAGATTGTATATTATATATAAATGGGTAAATAATATTTTTCACTGACCTGGATAGTGCGGCCATTTAGGGATGATTACCCTATAAAAACCATGATCCCAGGGAGGGAGAACAGTGAGGTCGTTATAATTTGCACAGAATAACTGTACATATCCCATTTGCTAGAGTTATATCTACTGTATCCCATACAAATGTAGGTAAATTTACCATACATGGAGCATATGGGTAGAGTTATCCCATAAATATAAACTGGTTGGAGGTTTCAACCCCTCTGAAAAATAGGCAAGTCAGTTGGGATGATGATTCCCAACTGAATGGAAAAATAAAAATGTTCCAAACCACCACAAGGTGGTGCCCCATAGTTAGCTAAGTTGGTTTATAACTCCCATTTCACTATGGTTTATAGTAGATATAACTATAGTATTCATGGGGTTTATAAACCAACAAACATCACTGGGGGGCACCATCCTGCAACCGGTACAATATTATATTTGAATGTTCATGTTCCATATATAAAACCCCACGGCCCTGATCGACTGAGCTCCCCAGACTGATCTTTCGAGATCACCTTTACTGCACGTGTCGCGCTGGTGGACTTCACCTGGATTGACGGGCAAAAACGGTCATTTGCGGTTACAGCTAAATATTCATATGGATTATTGTCATGTATGTATATATATATATTTATGTATGTGTGTCAATGAATAAGTATGTATATATATTGACATATATTATATTATATAAATAATTTTGTAAATGTATATAAATTCAAAATGTGTATATATATATATACACGACAATATTATGTGTATATATACATATATACATATATGTTTCCATATCTATCTAAATACAGCATGCGTGTACTGTCTGTGGCACAAAATGCTTGACACCTGGTGGTCGTGCTGGCTGGAGGTGAATTCGCCACGTTGGATTACCACGTCGGGTCGATTCGTTCAGGTCGCCTTCACAAACGCCAGCGGTCCTCGGTCCTCAAGCGTAAAGAACGCCGGCGCCCGGATGCCAAGCCCGGCATTCGTTGAGCGATTGGGGGAGCTAACCCGGCATGCATTCCTTACTTATCAAGCGTTTTGAAATCGACATCTACAGGAAACATACTGTGGATGGTTGCGAAATCCTGCACCGGTTGATAGATGGTGCACATCCCATTATTAAAAGGTTTTCAACCAGCCAAGGTGGTGCAGGATTTTTTCCATCCACAGTATGTGAAAATACATTGATGGAGCCTATTGGGAACAATGGGGGGAGCTTTTGGCAAATGACGGTTAACCAGCGCCGTCTGAAACTGGATGAGACAAGGACAAGCCAACAATGGTCACCACTTCTGCACGATGGGTCATGGGGCTAGTGAAAACTGGATAAGAACTGGTGTATATCCCCAAACATAGTTAAATTACAATGGCCTATAACTTTAACCAACTTATCAATCTGTAAACTTACTCTTTTTTCCCATCTAAGTGTCCTTTTTGATCCTTTTTGAAGCATTATTTCGTCCATTTGCGCTGAGCATCAAGCAGCAATTGTCCAATAGGCAACTTGTGGGGATGCTGAGCTTCCTCTTACCAACCATCCAGATCTATAACATTATATTCGGTGCATGAAAGTACTATATATTCTGTATAGTACACATGAAACATTCGAAGACAACAAAACATCATGTGTCATGTTCAACATTTCCTTTGCTTATTTGACATGAAATGGCATTATGTGGAATGAATTTGAAATAGTTCGAATTAAACATGAATAAAAAGGAATGTTTTAGGAGTGCCCCTATAAGGAACCCTTTCCATAGAGAAGACAATAATTGCCTATGTTTATTCTTCCATTAAACTTTGATCCATGTTTATTCCACTTCTGGTTGGTGGTATACCTACCCTCTGAAAAACATGAGTTCGTCAGTTGGGATTATGAAATTCCCAATATATCCAAAAATAAAACATGTTACAAACCAGAACCATCAACCAGGTATTTTTCACTCCCAACATCTATATCCCTATAATTCCCTATAATTCCCTTTCAATCCCTATATATCTCATGGATTTTGATGGTTAAAGCCAATCATCTATCGTTTATGTATATATATATATATATCAATTTTGTTTTTTCTATGGTTTTCCTGTAGTTTCCTATGGCTTTCAGGAATGACCACCAGCCCCGTAGAAAAACATGACCGCCCAGTGACCCTCGCGCGCTTCACGGCGCCGTAGCTTCCTGGGGATGGTTCAAGTTACCTATGAAGGGGCCACCAGTCGATAGCGTGAACCGTTGCCTGAAAAAAGTGGCTGAAAAAACGATGGTGTATGGTAGATATAACTATAGATAACTATGGTTTATGGTAGATATGGTTGAATTCTATGGTTTTTGGATGTTTATGGTAGATATAACGAACTATATAGTTAATGGGGTTTTGTTGTGGTTTATAAGCCAACGTTCACATCGCTGGTCGGCCCCATCCTGAATTTACCATGTGTGGGGCTTTCTTAAGTCATGGAGGATCCCCATGTTTCGATTCTTTTCTTGTAAAAAATCCAGTCATATTTGATTTACAGAGGTTGCACGCACCTAACATGTTACCTAGAAGGAACATGGGGTTTCTTATTGGGGGACCCCCAAACCACCATAGGTTTCAATACTAAGTCATGGTCATCCATTTTCCTTGGATGATGACTGGGGGGGCCTCCATGACGGAAACCTCCCAGGAATGGGGCGATGAACATGAACCAGCTGAAAAACCACCATTTTTAATAGGTAAATCAACTATAAATGTGCAATTTTTCATAGCTATGTTAACTGGTTGGTGGTTGACCTACACCTCTGAAAAAGATGAAAGTTAGTTGGAATGATTATTCCCAATATATGGAAAGTCATAAAAGCCATGTTCCAAACCACCAACCAGTTAAATTACCAGAGGGCAACCAGCTGTATTAGGGGTACCTATAAGCTTTTGAAGCTTTTGACTCGGAGCCATTTCACGATTTTTAGCAGGGCACCAGCCTGTACCTGGAAGCCTCAACTTAGGTAGTGCTGAGTAAGCAGGGAAATGGATGGAAAGTGGAATGAACCGATCCAGAAGTAACAATCATCCCATTCCCCTCATTCCCCACACTTATATCATGTTATATCCCGTATACAAGTTTTTTCTGGCTAAGTCACAAAAATGCCACTGATATACAACATTATACAACCATAGTCGTAGGAGTTATATATGTTTCCATTGATTAACTTATACTGTAGCTGATCAGGGCCATAACTGTAGAAATGGTCAAGGCGGTTTGCCTACTTGGGGATGCAGGCCAGAGTGTACTTTTATGGCTATAACTTTCACCATGGTGAAATAATATCCATAAGCAAGGATATGGGGCCCCTATAACTATGGTGAAATCTATCCACAACTGGAATCCAAGTACTTAGAATGGGCCATGGGGTTAGTGAAAACTGGATAAACACTGGTGTATTATCCCCAAACAGAACTGGATTACAACGGCTTATAACCAACTTGTCAACCTGTCACTTATCAATCTGTAAACTAACTCTATGTCCTATCTAAGTGTCCTTTTTGGACCATGATTTCCTCCATTTGCGCTCATCATCAATCGCGAACCCTGGAACCGTGTCCTCGCCCCAGATCTGCTGAATCCAGGTCGTAAAAAGCATGGATTGCCTGAATGGCTCATGCTAAGTTGGTAAACATTACTCCAAAAGCCAGGGTTTTTGGTAGATATCCCTATAGTCTACCGTCATCTGATATCTTCTATAGTTATCTATAATTCCACTTACCTATGGCTACCTATAGTTCTCTATAGTTCTCTAGTTAATGGGGACTATAAACCAACAAACACAACTATGGGGGCACCACTGTGCAGGAAAACCCCACCAATACAAGGCGGGGGCCCCAAGGGATAGCTGAGTTGGTTGAGAAACAACTAGGCTAACCTGGTGTTTATGATATATATATATGTATATATATATATGTATTTGTATATCAAACTAGTACATTATAAACCAACGCATAAAACTGATAGGGGAGAAAACCCTTAATGAACCATGATGTTCCATTTTGTCGACAAGAGACCCGCGGATTTTCCACGATGATCTTGAGCCGCTCCTCAGGCGTCAACGGTCAACGTTGCTCTTGGAGTTGCTTAAAGATCGATGTTCCAAACAGTGATACTAGCAGCTCCAAATAGTGAATTCACCAATGGGATAACTCTGTAGTTGGCCAAAAACACTGGTTTGAGCTTCTGGTTTGTATGCGGGATAAAGCGACTTAGTATATTTGTTAATTGGGTGTCACTGCAATGCCCTATCATGAAGTGGAATGCACATCTAAGGGCAAACATATCATAATAGAAGCTATCTAATGCAAAACAGTCACAGCAAAAGTGCAAAACTGAAATGAATGCTACTGACTACTCCGTGACATCCACAAGAACTGCAAGCTGAGATCGAACTGCAAGATCCTGCAGATCTATTCTCCGAGGGCGCTCTACAGATCGCAGCCTCTATTGGGGAGGGTTTTTCATGGCGCCTTCTAAGAACTGGCGCAAGGGAGTATGATGGAGTATGCGGTGCAACAGCCCGCGCTACTCCGCCCCCAAACCGAACTCGCCATTGTACTTGTTGTCCAAAGCTGTGTACGATCTGGGCTCGTACCCTCGAGGAGAGACTGGTTTCTCTCCGTATTGGCCATTCGGTTGTTTAATCCCACAATCAAACATTAGGCTGGATGCTAGCAGCAAAACTAGGACCTAGTAGTTTTTATCGTTAGGTATCTACTTGACTATGGCTGGCTAAAACCACATATCGCGTGGCTTCATTCCAAAGAATTGATTCTTCAATGTGTTCTCTCTTTGTGGTTTCAATAGCTCGCAAGCAATAAAATCTAAAGGGCCGTCATTTGCAGAAATCAGTACTGTAATCATTGATGTACCTATATATTTCATTATATTTCAAAGGAACCTGCCCCAAAATCCAATTTCAGTTATATATATATACATACAACTATTTTGCATATATATATATATACACATACACAATACATACAGCATTTATATACTTGCAATGGGGGGACCCCAATCATAAGTTGCTCTATAAACCACACTAACTATAGTTATATGTGCCAAAAACCATAGTTATTGGAGTTATGTTCACCAACTTAGCTATCTTTTGGGGGTCCCACATTGTGGTAGTTACTGGTTCTTCATCATATTTAGTAAATAGTTCATCATCTTGGTTGTACATGGGCTTAGTAAATAGTCCACTTGTAACTTGCGCTAAACCAACCGATTTACTAAGTAGGATGAAGCAACAAGTAACCCAGATCTGAGGTTCATAAACTCTTCATGGTTAACCCCATAACTAATCATGATCAATCATGATTAACCCATGTTAGTCCAAGTACCCTCTGCTAATGTGGCTAGGTCCATTATGCCCTCCGGTTTTTTCAACGTGGCAAGTCGGAAAATGATCCATTTATGGCTGATGTTCCCATGACAAAACCTCCATTTATAAGTGGAATTCCCAGCTAGCCATGTTTGATGACACTGAAGGGTATGCACACATATGTTCCTATTAACACATCCATTTATAATAAGTGGATTTCCCAGCTAGCCATGGTTGATGACACTGAAGGATATATATATATATATGGATATATCTATATATATTTATATACGTATATATATATATACATATATATTTATATATATTCAATGGTAATTTCAGGATCCTAAAATGGAGGTACGTTAGTACCATATAAGGCTATATGTTGTGGGGATATTCCCTGAAATTTAGGCCTCATATATATAGGCCAAACATCTATGGTAGGTACCTCCAATCAATCGGTTCCTGAAATGGCCATTGATATATGGTAGTACAAGGTGGTGCCCCATAGTTAGCTAAGTTGGTTTATAACTCCCATAACTATGGTTTATGGCAGATATAACTATAGTTAATGGGGTTTATAAACCAACTTATAACTGGGGGGGCACCATCCTGTATGTGTATAGCCATTGCTTTTCCTGCTTGTGATCCAAAGAAATCCCAAAAACCCAGCGGTGCTGAAGTGCTGATAGCTGATGGATATTAGCTATGTGGCTGGACATACCCGGCCTGGTAAACGTTTACATAACGAACTGGAAAATCACCATGTTATAGCTGGGTAAATCAACAAACTAAATGGCTATTTTCAATAGCAGACTGTAAACGTTTACCAGAGAGTAACTCCACTAGCGAGGGTTTATTGGTAGATATATCATGCTATCTACAGAAGCAGGAAGTACAACACAAAATGCTGTCCCCATTCTATACCCACATCCCATTAGTCTTATGCGTCCTATCCTACAGTTATGGCCCTCAAGAGTTTTCATGGAAATGCAACCGCAACTGAGGTTATATATTTATAGATTAATCAATTAAATGAGATTAAAAGCCACTTGTAACTGCTAAGGTCTATTACTGTAACATATCCCATTAGCTATAGCTATATCTACTCTATCCCTTTTTGTGACCTTGGAGTTATATTTGCACCAACTTAGCGATTTCATTACAACGGGGGCCCCACATTGTAACTATAGCCATCAACCAGGGTTTATGATTCCGGGGTTGACATGAACTGGTAAGGTCTACAACTGTAATACATGGGGGTTTCCATAGTCATGGGGGATCCTGAATGGCAAATGGATGATTTTGGGGTACCCCCCATTTCAGGAAACCTCCATGTCCATATGTTTAAATAGGGAAAATGATGATTAACTAATGGTTGAAATGGGCTATTCTAGACAAAACCACATGATTTATATCTTTAACGACCAGACTTCCGATCCCAGTGACAGAGACAGCTCTTCCCAAGGTGGACATCAACTGGGCCGAGCGGTGGACGACTTTCGGAAGCATGCCCAGGAAGCCGAAAAAACTGGATTTAAGCAGAAAAACAAACAATATGGAGGTTTCATGAGGTTTCCATCAATGGGGGGTACCCCAAAATGGATGCTAAATAAGTATAAGGAAAAATCATATCAACATGGATGATTTGGGGGTACCCCTATTTTAGGAAACCCACATATGTGATTTGATCAAAAATGATGAAGAATTGAACAATGAGTTGTAAGAATCGAAAATCATGTATTGCTACATGGATTTACCTGGTAAAACTAGGAATCTAACTTATTCGGGGCAAGACTATAGATGGGAATGCAATCGGATATGAATAGGACTTTAATGGCAAAATATAAAACATAACATTATTGTAAGGTGTTTACATATTGTGGATTAGTGTACGGATTCACGAACGACGAGGGGCGGCAAAAAAAAGTATCCAAAAAGGTTTTAAGATACTTAAACAATGAGAAATGGCTAGCCAGCAATTGATATAATGAAGATGTTCATCGAGCAATACAAGTGGATCTAACTGGCAATAAATGGGATCTAGGCAAAACCGGAGGATGTACATGACTTCCAACCATATTTAGAATGGGATGTAATGGGATATTGAAGAGCTGGGTATATGGGTTTAGCATCCATCCTCCATCCAGACATGAACTCTAAGCCCAGTTTTGGACCGTCTACAGTAGATATGGACAACACCACAATGAGTCATTGGATTCATCCTACTTTCCTACGACACCACATTGTTTGTGCCTAGTCCTATCACCTCAAACGTAAGCTTACAATCATCCTGAAGTAGATAGAATATGGATTTTAAAAAACTTTACTGAAGAGCTTCTGACATTTTCATATTCTATAAATATTATGGGGACAACAACATTATGACACCTATTTTTTAAAGATGTTAAACATATAAAGAACTAAATAACAATGCTATTTGGATACATCCTACGAGGTGGGTAATTAAACATTGGCTGACTGGGAAATTCCCCATGAATGCAAGTCCCAATAGTGTGAAACTCATACAGAACTGAAAGGTTTTCCCCATGTTTAAGGGTAAACTTGGTAGATAAAAAGGAAAAAACAAAATGACCTTCCCCGCCCCGCATGAGCATCATATGTCATCATTTATCCACAATGGATCGGAGCAACCCTGATGATCTTACCAATTTTCCAAATGCGTGATGGGAGAGTTTTTTTTCTGCTTGTGAAAAAAACGCAAGTCTTTTTTTACGCACAACATGTTTCTTGATGGCGAAAAAACATTGGCTAAAAGCAAAATCCAACTCCAACAAAGCCATTGCGGAAAGTTCATGTGCGTATTGATGCAATTCTGCGCGTATGCTGCAGCCATCACTGGGTAACCTGCCACAAGGCTTCACCAAACATGTTGGTGAAAGTGCCAGCGTCGGGCATGCGTTGGCACAGCTATTGCAAAAAGGCACAGAGTTGCAAAATATATATATATATATATATATGTGTATAACATATATATATATATATAGATACATATCATATATATATATATATCGATATATCACATATAATATATATATACATATCATAAATATATATATATATAGATATATCATAAATAATTAAATATATATATATATACATGCCGACCTTTCGCATCTAACCAACATCCTTTCTCCACAATTAAGTATTCAGCTCGGTAATTAACATTATTTTTTCAGCATTAGACAGTACGCTGGCATGATGGTCCGTGGTGGTACTACCAAAGTGTGACCCCTAAACTTCGGAATGTCGCCAGTAAGAAGTCTACAACTCCATGGCTTGATTTGAACATGTTGGGAAGACTCCCCACATGAATCACGGTTTTCAGAAAAACCATGGTTCCCAATTTTCCGAAAACCATTTACCTTCTGGTAAACTAACATAACTATGGAAAATCACCGTTTTTAATGGACAAATCCAGTATAAATGGCAATTTTCAATTGCTCTGTTTGTTTACCAGAGGGTAAAAGGCATGTTCACGCCATTTTCATGGCCGTGGACTGGATCATTTTCTCCATGGCCACCAGCGTTTCAGCAACACCAGTGGTTTAAACGACAGGATTTTTTCGCAGGAACGAAGTGGAGTCCAACTGGACAGACTGCATGGTTAATGGTGTTTGTATGTTTCACCAAATGTTTTTCTGGGAGAAATTACAGAGAATCATGGGACACACCAAACCGTGAATAATTGTTGTGTGAGTTCTTGCTTAGCAATTTATTTTTGTTGTTGGCCACAAATACTCATCCTTACTGACTAAAGACGAATGTTATTGCTAAAAAACAACCCTTTCTGATCGAATAAACCCGAACATATTGCCTTCGACACTTGATGAACAACATTACTGTAAAGTGTTTCTCAAAATCCGGGGTATACCAAAACTGCTGGTTTCACAATTAACCAGCAGAATTTTGAATGATTTTTTGGGGCTCCAATTTCAAGTCGTGGCAAATCTTATATCTAGTCTTGTTGGTTAATTATATCCTTAAAACACAAACAATCATCATATTTTTCTCAGATACTATGGATTGTTGCGAAATCCTGCAAGACCAAAAGGATGGTTGATAATCATGGATAAGCCACCGTTTTCAACTGGTGCAGGATGTCTTCCATAGTATGTCCCCGTTGTGGTTGGGTACCCATAGCGGCTTGACATGGGCCCAGCGACACTGAGGTTGGAGGCGGTTCTGCGGAGGTTCTTCCGAAAGACGCGGTCCTCCAGGGACGGTCAGAAATTTTGCGGCCTACAATTTTAGCCCTTAACAGCCTTAACAGTTACCCTCTGAGAATTTAACGTAGCTCTTGAAAATCACACATTTCCATTTTCCATATAGCTATGTTAGTTTACTAAAAGGTATAACTGGTTTATAACATCTTATAAGTTCGTTGAAGATGATTTACCAAACGTAAAAAATGATGATTATCCATAGCTAACTCAAAAGAAGCAGAAATTGATTTTTATTGAGGATGATTTTTATTTTGGAAGAGTCTTGTGCTTTGGGATGATTCTTATTTTTCCCCACCTGCCAGGTGAAGGTTGTTAGATTTTAATGTTGTCTAGCCAATAGTGATATCTTGTCAATAGTAGAAACATTTTTCCGCAACTCCAATTTTTCTCCAATACTAAAAGTCAATTAGCTCCATTTACTTTTGGTATTGCCAAAAGAGTTAAGTAAAGCAAATCCTTTTCAAAGCAGCCTTCACTTTTGATTAGCAAAAGCTTAGATTCCAGAAATCTGATCCAATTACCAAACAGCTGATTTCCTTATAAAACACTTATTAAAAAAAAACAAGAAAACAGGTCCACAAAGGGTACCCCCTTTGCAAGCCCCAGAATAGCAATAACAAACCTGCACCAGGCATGGCAATAGTGGAAACTTTTTCCGCAACTCCAATTTTGTTGTCCTCCTTCTCCTTCTCCTTCTCCTTCTTCTCCTTCTTCTCCTTCTCCTCCTCCTCCTCGTCCTCCTCCTTCGCCTCCACCACCTCTGCCCCCACTTCCATGATCCCAGCTATAAGGTTCCAAAACTTTACTATTGGAATGCTGACCCCCCCCATTTTTTAAAAAATATTTTATTTAGGGGGGTTTTACTATTAGGCAGCCTACATTATCAGAGTTGTTCTTCTCCTTCTCCTCCTCTTCCTCCTCTTCCTCCTCCTCCTCCTTCTCCTCCATCACCTCTGCCTCCACTTCCATGTTCACTTCCGCCTTGCCAACTCTTCGCCAAGCTCTTCGCCAACTTCCGCACGCAGTGGGCACTGCTGGACCTCAACTGCAAGGGTCTGAGCGCACTGGGCACTGCTGGACCTCAACCTGGGACCGTCCGAGCTCAGTGAGCACTGCTGGACCTCAACCTGGGACCCTCCGAGCTCAGTGAGCACCGCTGGACCTCAACCTGGGACCCTCCGAGCTCAGTGAGCACCGCTGGCCCTCAACGGCCAGATAGAATGCCAGAAGATATGCCAGATAGAACGCCAGATAGAATGCCAGAAAGAATGCCAGAAGATATGCCAGATAAAGTGCCAGAATGTTTGCCAGATAGAATGCCAGAAGATATGCCAGATAGAATGCCAGAAGGTATGCCAGATAGAATGTCAGATAGGATGCCAGAAGGTATGCCAGATAGAATGTCAGAAGGTATGCCAGATAAAGTGCCAGAATGTTTGCCAGATAGAATGCCAGAAGATATGCCAGATAGAATGCCGGAAGGTATGCCAGATAGAATGTCAGATAGGATGCCAGAAGGTATGCCAGATAGAATGTCAGAAGGTATGCCAGATAAAGTGCCAGAATGTTTGCCAGAACATACGCCAGAAGATTTGCCAGATAGAATGCCAGATAGAATGCCAGAAGATATGTCAGAAGATATGCCAGATAGAGTGCTAGAAGATATATGCCAGAACATATTGCAGAAGACATGAGACGTAGAATGCCAGAAGATATACCAGATAGAATGCCAGAAGATATGCCAGATAAAATGCCAGAAGATTTGCCAGAAACAAAGCGTATAGATGTCATGGTGGGGATAACTCGAAGTAAAGTAATGTTGTCGACTGATTAGTGTGAGGGCCCCCCCCCCAAACAATTTTAGTCTACTGAATAACAGACCATTTTTTTGCCCCCCCCCACCTTCAACAATTTTTTTGAATTGATTTCAATTTACTTTCGACTGAAATCAATTTACTTTCAATTGATTTCAATTTACTTTCAATTGATTTCAATTGATTTCAATTTACTTTCAATTTACTTTCAATAAGGGTTTAATAAGGCATCTAATTATTTGGAAAACCTTGCATTTTAAAGATTTAACACAAATATGGCTTTCTAAAGTAAATGGACCAGCTTTACTCAAAGAAAGGTGGAGAAGGTTTTTGATTTTTTTCAACCCCAAAAGTTGCTTGGCACAATAGAGTACCATCCAAACATTCATATTATTGAGTAACTGAGCCACTCATGGGGTACCACCTTGAAAAATTGTTTGGATGCTGTTTTTTAATAAGGGTTTAATAAGGCATCTAATTATTTGGAAAACCTTGCATTTTAAAGATTTAACACAAATATGGCTTTCTAAAGTAAATGGACCAGCTTTACTCAAAGAAAGGTGGAGAAGGTTTTTGATTTTTTTCAATCCCAAAAGTTGCTTGGCACAATAGAGTACCATCCAAACATTCATATTATTGAGTAACTGAGCCACTCATAAGGTACCCCCTTGAAAAATTGTCTGGATGCTGTTTTTAAATAAGGGTTTAATAAGGCATCTAATTATTGGAAAACCTTGCATTTTAAAGATTTTACACAAATATGGCTTTGTAAAGTAAATGGACCAGCTTTACTCAAAGAAAGGTGGAGAAAGTTTTTGCTTTTTTTCAACCCCAAAAGTTGCTTGGCACAATAGAGTACCATCCAAACATTCATATTATTGAGTAACTGAGCCACTCATGGAGGTACCCCCTTGAAAAATTGTCTGGATGCTGTTTTTTAATAAGGGTTTAATAAGGCATCTAATTATTTGGAAAACCTTGCATTTTAAAGATTTAACACAAATATGGCTTTCTAAAGTAAATGGACCAGCTTTACTCAAAGAAAGGTTGAGAAAGGGTTTTTATTTTTTTTCAACCCCAAAAGTTGCTTGGCACAATAGAGTACCATCCAAACATTCATATTATTGAGTAACTCAGCCACTCATGGGGTACCACCTTGAAAAATTGTCTGGATGCTGTTTTTTAATAAGGGTTTAATAAGGCATCTAATTATTTGGAAAACCTTGCATTTTAAAAGCTTTAACACAAATATGGTTTCCTAAAGTAAATGGACCAGCTTTACTCAAAGAAAGGTGGAGAAAGGGTTTTTATTTTTTTTCAACCCCAAAAGTTGTTGGGCACAATAGAGTACCATCCAAACATTCATATTATTGAGTAACTGAGCCACTCATGAGGTACCCCCTTGAAAAATTGTCTGGATGCTGTTTTTTAATAAGGGTTTAATAAGGCATCTAATTATTTGGAAAACCTTGCATTTTAAAGATTTAACACAAATATGGTTTTCTAAAGTAAATGGAACCAGCTTTACTCAAGAAAGGTGGAGAAGGTTTTTGTCTTTTTTCAACCCCAAAAGTTGCTTGGCACAATAGAGTACCATCCAAACATTCATATTATTGAGTAACTGAGCCACTCATGAGGTACCCCCTTGAAAAATTATCTGGATACTGTTTTTTAATAAGGGTTTAATAAGGCATCAAATTATTTGGAAAACCTTGCATTTTAAAGATTTAACACAAATATGGTTTTCTAAAGTAAATGGACCAGCTTTACTCAGAGAAAGGTGGAGAAGGTTTTTGATTTTTTCGACCCCAAAAGTTGTTGGGCACAATAGAGTACCATCCAAACATTCATATTATTGAGTAACTCAGCCACTCATGGGGTACAACCTTGAAAAATTGTCTGGATGTTGTTTTTAATAAGGGTTCAGTAAGGCATCTAATTATTTGGAAAACCTTGCATTTAGATTTAACACAAATATGGCTTTCTAAAGTAAATGGACCAGCTTTACTCAAAGAAAGGTTGAGAAAGGGTTTTTATTTTTTTCAACCCCAAAAGTTGCTTGGCACAATAGAGTACCATCCAAACATTCATATTATTGAGTAACTCAGCCACTCATGGGGTACCACCTTGAAAAATTGTCTGGATGCTGTTTTTTAATAAGGGTTTAATAAGGCATCTAATTATTTCGAAAACCTTGCATTTTAAAGCTTTAATACAAATATGGTTTCCTAAAGTAAATGGACCAGCTTTACTCAAAGAAAGGTTGAGAAAGGGTTTTTTGTTTTTTTTTCAACCCCAAAAGTTGTTGTGCACAATAGAGTACCATCCAAACATTCATATTATTGAGTAACTCAGCCACTCATGGGGTACCACCTTGAAAAATTGTCTGGATGCTGTTTTTTAATAAGGGTTTAATAAGGCATCTAATTATTTCGAAAACCTTGCATTTTAAAGCTTTAATACAAATATGGTTTCCTAAAGTAAATGAACCAGCTTTACTCAAAGAAAGGTTGAGAAAGGGTTTTTATTTTTTTCAACCCCAAAAGCTGTTGGGCACAATAGAGTACCATCCAAACATTCATATTATTGAGTAACTCAGCCACTCATGGGGTACCACCTTGAAAAATTGTTTGGGTGCTGTTTTTTTTTTAAAGGGTTTAATAAGGCATCTAATTATTTGGAAAACTTTGCATTTAGATTTAACAAAAATATCTATTTCTAAAACAAATGGACCAGCTTTACCCAAAGAAAGGTGGGGAAAGGGTTTTTTGTTTTTTTTTCAACCCCAAAAGTTGTTGGGCACAATAGAGTACCATCCAAACATTCATATTATTGAGTAACTCAGCCACTCATGGGGTACCACCTTGAAAAATTGTTTGGATGCTGTTTTTTAATAAGGGTTTAATAAGGCATCTAATTATTTGGAAAACCTTGCATTTTAAAGCTTTAATACAAATATGGTTTCCTAAAGTAAATGGACCAGCTTTACTCAAAGAAAGGTTGAGAAAGGTTTTTATTTTTTTTTCAACCCCAAAAGTTGCTTGGCACAATAGAGTACCATCCAAACATTCATATTATTGAGTAACTCAGCCACTCATGGGGTACCACCTTGAAAAATTGTCTGGATGCTGTTTTTTAATAAGGGTTTAATAAGGCATCTAATTATTTGGAAAA